TTAAGTCAATTTGTGTGTCACAATTAACAGTGTGAAGGTTAATGATAAATTAGGAGTGGTTGCTAAATTCTTATGAATTGAGAAGCCGAATTATTGTTATTAACTCTACTTGCCTATTAAGTATTAATTTCAATCTCCACACACTTATTTAATAAGGGGTTTTAAGGAAACAATTACAGTCCCTCAATCATCTTTCAGTGAATAGTAACAGGAAATTTTAGAGAGTATATTGCATCAGCTACAATACGCTCCCGTGCAGATCTACAATTGTAACAAAAGACAAGTCCTCATTTAATTTGACATTGTTGATTAAATATGAATAGTAATTTATAATTAATTAATTAGTGCTTAAATGTGAAATTAAATAATTAATTATATAGATTTAAACAGAGGACTAATCCTCATAAAAATTTAATTTATTATTTAAGGTTAAAATCTATTTAAAATAAAATGAGTAAAATTATTTCCAACACTGCTCCCAAATGCAAACTATTAACTTGTTTTAACATCTTCAGCACAAGAAGTACTGTCCAAATACCTCACCTGGGAATCGTCTACCACTAAATCTCGATTGACCAACCTTACGTTGACCAACCTGTAGACTGAGCAATCATCTACCAGCAGGACTCATCCTCCAGAACAGTGAAGGGATTTAAAATGTTTCCAGCAGGAACGACAGACTACTTCAGGGTCATCAGTTTTGTGTGGATTTCATCTCGCCAGCATCTTTGGGGGGAAAAGCTCATATTCTCCATTTATAGCACCATAAGGAACTTGACCGTTCCCAACAGAGAAACCTTTGGCATTAAATAACGGCCCATTTCCGTTAACTGGCAAAGTACGACACTCGAAGCTTCTGGGCTTAGTGCTAGAAATCGTCAAGCCCATCCACTTGGGGTGAACGGTAGAGCAACAGTCTTGCTTCATGCAGGTTGGCGTTCAATCCCCGATCCTCCAAGTGGTTGGACACCATTACTTCCCCCCCCCCCTCCCTGTTCCATCTCAAATCCTTATTCTGATCCCATCCAAGTGCTATATTGTTGCAATGGCTTAGTGCTTTCCCCCCCGATAGTTCCCTTCTCCTTCCATTAAGTACTCCCTCTCAGGTGTACCGTCATCGCTCTACAGGCCTTTCTATCCTCCTCTTCAGCCTAAGACCTGTCTTTGCTTGCCCTGCTTCACGAGCCATTAGGACCTGTCTTTGCTTGCCCTGCTTCACGAACCATTAGGACCTGTCTTTTCTTGCCCTGCTTCACGAACCATTAGGACCTGTCTTTTCTTGCCCTGCTTCACGAACCATTAGGACCTGTCTTTTCTTGCCCTGCTTCACGAACCATTAGGACCTGAATTTGCTTGCCCTGCTTCACGAGCCATTAGGACCTGTCTTTTCTTGCCCTGCTTCACGAACCATTAGGACCTGTCTTTGCTTGCCCTGCTTCACGAACCATTAGGACCTGTCTTTTCTTGCCCTGCTTCACGAACCATTAGGACCTGAATTTGCTTGCCCTGCTTCACGAACTTTATAGTTGGTTTTGTTTCCTCTTTTTCCCTTTCACATTTTCTAACCAGTTTGACAAATTTTTGTGTTAGACTGACTTCCTTATTCTTAATACTTTTGTACAAAACTTTCTTCTCAAATATATGGTTCTTCAGGCGTATAGTTATCCATTAAGGATCACTAATCTTCGATCTATTCAATATGAATGGTATACTACGTTCGAAGGCTTTGCTTAGAATATTTTAAAATAAGTTATAATTTAATACACATGGCAATCCCTTGTTACGTCACCCATCGCTGGGTTCATGTCTCGCTCCAAGACCAGCCCATGCCTAGGTCTGATCAATCTTTCCTACCCAAGAAATTTCTTAACCTATTAAAATCAGTTATTCGGAAATCTGGCACCTCTCTTACACAACTGTTCCACTCTACTAAATCTGATTTCCTTGTGATCACTGTTCCCTAGCTCACTCCCTATTTCCATGTGATCACTAATCCCTAGCTCACTCCTTATTTCCATGTGATCACTGTTCTTTAGCTCACTCCCTATTTTCTTCTGATCTCTATTTCCTATGCAGACGATGAGTCACAATAACGTGGCTGAAATATGTTGACCAATCCACACTAGAAAATGAAGGGACGACGATGTTTCGGTCCGCCCTGGACCATTCTCATGTCGATTGTGGCACAATCGACTTGAGAACGGTCCAGGACGGACCGAAACATCGTCGTCCCTTCATTTTCTAGTGTGTGGTTTGGTCAACACTGTTTCCTAGCTCACTCCTTATTTCCTTGTGATCACTGTTCCTTAGCTCACTCCCTATTTCCTTGTGATCTCTGTTCCCTAGCTCACTCCCTATATCCATGTGATCACTGTTCCCTAGCTCACTCCCTATTTCCTTGTGATCACTGTTCCTTAGCTCACTCCCTATTTCCTTGTGATCACTGTTGACTGGCTCACTCCCGATATCGATGTTATTAATTTGTGCTTCCCGTTATTTAGCTCTAAGTATAAAATAATATTTTCAGCTTTGGTTCCTTAATGAGTTGCTTAAGAAAGCAATCGTCAAATACTTATAAGATATCATTTGCTTCGTTTTTACTGTTCCTTTAAGCCAGTTTATACCACTAAAATTAAAGTCACCCATGACACTAATACTGTTTGACCTAGATGCTCTAGGTATTTCATCCCATACATGCTTTGCTTCCATTCTGAGTGTGGTGGCCTGTATGTAACTACTGTTATTTGAGTATTATCTTTTTCCCTCAATTGTACCCAAATACTTCCTGAGGTGTGGCTCATTTTTGATCCCCTCTTTGACACTATTTAAAAAAATTCTGACATTTATGGTTACTCCCCCTCTCCTCGTATATTTTTTCTATCTGTATGAAATAGTTTAAATCTGTTTATTTGATATTCAGCTAATTGTTCCCTGTTTTCTATATTTATTTATGTTTCGATTATTACAATAATATCTATTGTTTCTGTGCAGACAAGAACACTTAAATAGTTTCTTAAACTCCTACTATCTGTGCATTACTCATTGATGGATATTACTATTTTGAGGCTCTTCTCCTCACCTATTCATTTTACTCTTAGTTTTTTCCCTGACAACACATGCTTTTATTGGCTTGTTTTCCCAAATCTATTCCCATACCACTATCTACTAATAGTTTATATCCAAACAAACCCTTCCAACAACAGATTCCAACGAACTGATGTTAACAAGTCAACAACCCCAGTCATAGATAAAATAACCCCATCTTTAGCATACATGGCATTCCTTCCATAGAAGTGCTCCCAGTTATCAATGAATGATATAGCATTTGATTTACAATATTTGTCCAGTCGGCAAATGATACCAAGTGCCCTCGACAACCATTTATTTCCAACTCCCTTGCTTGGAAGAATGCCACATATGATCAGGATTCCTCCCTTGATTCTCACTAACTCGACGGCTGCCTTAAACCTCTGTATCAGTGTCTGACTCCTAGCTCTTCCTACTTTATTTCCTCTTAACTCTCCCAACTTTATTTCCTAACTAAGCGGATTCTCTTGTAGTCCCAGCACTCCAACTCATATTAATGTAAAAGACATAAATATTCCAGCTGAGACAGCCATATCGTTGACAGAGCAGCTGCAGCATGGTTTAATGCTGCGACAACAGCGCATAAAATCGCTCGCACAGCAGTGGCGGCAGCTTCCCCTACGAGTGACTTCCTATTAGTAATTTCCACGTCAATAACATGCATGCGCTTCATAAATCAAGCTCCTCCATTGTCTCATCTCCATGCTGTTCCTAACCTCACCAGTTATAGGTGTACTTGTCCTGAGGAAGAGGCTAACAGGCCGGGTCAGCATGGCCGGCACTGGCACTCGTGGCATAGTTAAGGTAATAATAACAGGAACCTTACAATAGCCGGGTGTCCAGCAGAGTCTCGTTACCCAATGTCTCGCAACTCTGCCAATCCTGCAGTTCACCCAGGCGGGATTACAGTGCCTGGAACATGGTAAGCGGCTGGCATGGGACTACACATGTGTGTCACCCTTGGCTAACACCTGTAATGACTTCCATATTTTTTTCATCTAGGTTGGCCAGTAACTCATTGTGAATCAACCAAATGTCGCAAGGGCAGTTAACTAATCCGATGTACAAATTTGTCCCCGTTAATTCGGAGATTCTTAGTGCGAGGGGTGAAAGTGCCAAGAGTTTTCTCAGGATCTTCATTCTGTACCTGTTGAAACAACAAGAGACCCAAGACCTGTCAGCTACCAGTTCCAAAACCTCAGCGTACCCATACAAGGGGAAATGATCACTGCATTTTTGGTACTTGCCTCTCATCCGATGATCTTAAGGAAACTCGACTGCTGTGCCAATCAACTTTTTACCTTCTTTGTAATCATTGTTTAACTCATACTGTATAATAAAAAAATATACTAATACATTTTGAGTGGCAGGAGACGCGAAGGTGTCAATAAAAGCAGATGAACCTTATTTACTGAATGAGCCACAGTTAAGGATGATTTTATCAACATTTGTTCCGTCAAGTACCAGACATATACAGCAGCACAGCCGAGCTAAATTACAAAGTCTAATCATCTGTTAAGATCACGTCGTCATATAATTAAATAACCAACTCACAGGAAAAAATATCAATCATGTCATTAAAGGGCATGGTGAAAGATCAACTATATTTCAATTCCATTGAAATGCACCGTAAAATTCCACAACTATGTTACGACTGTTACCATGTAGTTTGAAAATTTAAAACAATTATCATTACTCATGAACAAATCCACAAGGGCCGTGACGAGGATTCGAACCTGCGTCAGGGAACAATCATCGTCACGGCCCTTGTGGATTTGTTCATTTGATGCATCACGTTAGTGTGATCTTAGTGTGTATCATTACTCAGTTTAACTTTTCTAAATAATCTCCAAAATAATCGATGAAGTTTTGTTTCTTACCAAAATGAGAGTTATAAACAAAAAGATTATTACCTGATGTTGAGTCTTGTGGCAAAGTCGTAGATCATTCGGACGTTGAGAGAGTCCAGGAGCGTGACTGTGGTGGCTGGGTCACTGCGACTGAGCTTGTAGTCCATATACGGGAAGTATACCATGGATGAGAAGCTGAGCTTGTGCCCCATGAAGTTGTGAAGCTCATCTGTTGATGAGAGATAGGAGAGAAGGATATATGAGGAGGAGGACGAGGATATATAAATATATATCTTGCCCGAAACGCTGTGCGTATTGGTGGCTTCAAATAGCAAATAGCAAATTCCGTGACAGCGCAACATGGTCTGTCTCAATAATGCTGCATGCAACAATTATCAATTTCCAACAGAAATACTGCCGTTATTGCAATAGAAACATAGACTGTTTAGTGACTGTTATGACCAAGTGTATACAGGATATTATTAATATACATTGTGTCCTAATTAAGTAAAAAAATTATATGAATACTGTCATTTATAAATATAATGTCAATAATATCATTCATGCTTAAGTAACCAGTAATATTTTGTTACTTTCATACCAGTGTATGAATACGTGTAAGTATTAACTTTGGACTATACAGTATTTCAAGATTCTGTTGAAATGATTCGGGGGATGTCAAACAGTTTAATTGCTTGCTGAGTGTGTGTGTGTGCTGGCCAGCTCCAGTGTGTGTGTGCTGGCCAGCTCCAGTGTGTGTGTGTGTGTGTGTGTGTGTGTGTGCTGGCCAGCTCCAGTGTGTGTGTGCTGGCCAGCTCCAGTGTGTGTGTGCTGGCCAGCTCCAGTGTGTGTGTGTGTGCTGGCCAGCTCCAGTGTGTGTGTGTGTGCTGGCCAGCTCCAGTGTGTGTGTGTGTGCTGGCCAGCTCCAGTGTGTGTGTGTGTGCTGGCCAGCTCCAGTGTGTGTGTGTGTGTGCTGGCCAGCTCCAGTGTGTGTGTGCTGGCCAGCTCCAGTGTGTGTGTGTGTGTGCTGGCCAGCTCCAGTGTGTGTGTGCTGGCCAGCTCCAGTGTGTGTGTGTGTGCTGGCCAGCTCCAGTGTGTGTGTGTGTGCTGGCCAGCTCCAGTGTGTGTGTGTGTGTGCTGGCCAGCTCCAGTGTGTGTGTGTGTGCTGGCTAGCTCCAGTGTGTGTGTGTGTGTGCTGGCCAGCTCCAGTGTATGTGTGCTGGCCAGCTCCAGTGTGTGTGTGCTGGCCAGCTCCAGTGTGTGTGTGTGTGCTGCCCAGCTCCAGTGTGTGTGTGCTGGCCAGCTCCAGTGTGTGTGTGCTGGCCAGCTCCAGTGTATGTGTGCTGGCCAGCTCCAGTGTGTGTGCTGGCCAGCTCCAGTGTGTGTGTGTGTGCTGGCCAGCTCCAGTGTGTGTGTGTGTGCTGCCCAGCTCCAGTGTGTGTGTGTGCTGCCCAGCTCCAGTGTGTGTGTGTGCTGGCCAGCTCCAGTATCTGTGTGTGTGTGTGTGTGCTGGCCAGCTCCAGTATGTGTGTGTGTGCTGGCCAGCTCCAGTGTGTGTGTGTGTGCTGGCCAGCTCCAGTGTGTGTGTGTGTGCTGGCCAGCTCCAGTGTGTGTGTGTGTGTGCTGGCCAGCTCCAGTGTGTGTGTGTGTGTGCTGGCCAGCTCCAGTGTGTGTGTGTGTGCTGGCCAGCTCCAGTGTGTGTGTGCTGGCCAGCTCCAGTGTGTGTGTGTGCTGGCCAGCTCCAGTGTGTGTGTGTGCTGGCCAGCTCCAGTGTGTGTGTGTGTGCTGGCCAGCTCCAGTGTGTGTGTGTGTGCTGGCCAGCTCCAGTGTGTGTGTGAGAGCTGGCCAGCTCCAGTGTGTGTGTGCTGGCCAGCTCCAGTGTGTGTGTGTGCTGGCCAGCTCCAGTGTATGTGTGCTGGCCAGCTCCAGTGTGTGTGTGTGTGCTGGCCAGCTCCAGTATGTGTGTGTGTGCTGGCCAGCTCCAGTGTGTGTGTGTGTGCTGGCCAGCTCCAGTGTGTGTGTGTGTGCTGGCCAGCTCCAGTGTGTGTGTGTGTGTGCTGGCCAGCTCGTGTGTGTGTGTGTGTGCTGGCCAGCTCCAGTGTGTGTGTGCTGGCCAGCTCCAGTGTGTGTGTGTGCTGGCCAGCTCCAGTGTGTGTGTGTGCTGGCCAGCTCCAGTGTGTGTGTGTGCTGGCCAGTTCAAGTGTGTGCGTGTGTGTGTGCTGGCCAGCTCCAGTGTGTGTGTGCTGGCCAGCTCCAGTGTGTGTGTGCTGGCCAGCTCCAGTGTGTGTGTATGCTGGCCAGCTCCAGTGTGTGTGTGTGCTGGCCAGCTCCAGTATGTGTGTGTGTGCTGGCCAGCTCCAGTGTGTGTGTGTGTGTGTGCTGGCCAGCTCCAGTGTGTGTGTGCTGGCCAGCTCCAGTGTGTGTGTGCTGGCCAGCTCCAGTGTGTGTGTGTGCTGGCCAGCTCCAGTGTGTGTGTGTGTGTGTGCTGGCCAGCTCCAGTGTGTGTGTGCTGGCCAGCTCCAGTGTGTGTGTGCTGGCCAGCTCCAGTGTGTGTGTGTGTGTGCTGGCCAGCTCCAGTGTATGTGTGCTGGCCAGCTCCAGTATGTGTGTGTGTGCTGGCCAGCTCCAGTGTGTGTGTGTGTGCTGGCCAGCTGCAGTGTGTGTGTGTGTGTGCTGGCCAGCTCCAGTGTGTGTGTGTGTGCTGGCCAGCTCCAGTGTATGTGTGCTGGCCAGCTCCAGTATGTGTGTGTGTGCTGGCCAGCTCCAGTGTGTGTGTGTGTGCTGGCCAGCTGCAGTGTGTGTGTGTGTGTGCTGGCCAGCTCCAGTGTGTGTGAGTGTGTGTGTGTGCTGTCCAGCTCCAGTGTGTGTGTGTGCTGGCCAGCTCCAGTGTGTGTGTGTGTGTGCTGGCCAGCGACAGTGTGTGTGTGTGTGCTGGCCAGCTCCAGTGTGTGTGTGTGTGTGCTGGACAGCTCCAGTGTGTGTGTGTGTGTGTGCTGGCCAGCTCCAGTGTGTGTGTGTGCTGGCCAGCTCCAGTGTGTGTGTGTGTGCTGGCCAGCTCCAGTGTGTGTGTGTGTGCTGGCCAGCTCCAGTGTGTGTGTGTGATGGCCAGCTCCAGTGTGTGTGTGTGTGTTCTGGCCAGCGACAGAGTGTGTGTGTGTGCTGGCCAGCTCCAGTGTGTGTGTGTGTGCTGGCCAGCTCCAGTGTGTGTGTGTGCTGGCCAGCTCCAGTGTGTGTGTGTGCTGGCCAGCTCCAGTGTGTGTGTGTGTGTGCTGGCCAGCTCCAGTGTGTGTGTGTGTGTGCTGGCCAGCTCCAGTGTGTGTGTGTGTGCTGGCCAGCTCCAGTGTGTGTGTGTGTGCTGGCCAGCTCCAGTGTGTGAGTGTGTGCTGGCCAGCTCCAGTGTGTGTGTGTGCTGGCCAGCTCCAGTGTGTGTGTGTGCTGGCCAGCTCCAGTGTGTGTGTGTGCTGGCCAGCTCCAGTGTGTGTGTGTGTGCTGGCCAGCTCCAGTGTGTGTGTGTGTGCTGGCCAGCTCCAGAGTGTGTGTGTGTGCTGGCCAGCTCCAGAGTGTGTGTGTGTGTGCTGGCCAGCTCCAGAGTGTGTATGTGTGCTGGCCAGCTCCAGAGTGTGTGTGTGTGTGCTGGCCAGCTCCAGTGTGTGTGTGCTGGCCAGCTCCCGTGTGTGTGTGCTGGCCAGCTCCAGTGTGTGTGTGCTGGCCAGCTCCAGTGTGTGTGTGCTGGCCAGCTCCAGAGTGTGTGTGTGTGCTGGCCAGCTCCAGTGTGTGTGTGCTGGCCAGCTCCAGTGTGTGTGTGCTGGCCAGCTCCAGTGTGTGTGTGTGTGCTGGCCAGCTCCAGTGTGTGTGTGTGCTGGCCAGCTCCAGTGTGTGTGTGTGTGCTGGCCAGCTCCAGAGTGTGTGTGTGCTGGCCAGCTCCAGAGTGTGTATGTGTGCTGGCCAGCTCCAGAGTGTGTGTGTGTGCTGGCCAGCTCCAGTGTGTGTGTGTGTGCTGGCCAGCTCCAGTACTCACCTAGTTGTACTCACGTAGTTGTGCTTGCGGGGGTTGAGCTCTGGCTCTTTGGTCCCGCCTCTCAACCGTCAATCAACAGGTGTACAGGTTCCTGAGCCTATCGGGCTCTATCATATCTACACTTAAAACTGTGTATGGAGTCAGCCTCCACCACATCACTTCCTAATGCATTCCATTTGTCAACCACTCTGACACTAAAAAAATTCTTATGTTAAAGCCCTTGTGTTAAATAGACGGTCTTTATCTACCCTATCAATTCCCTTCAGAATCTTGTATGTCGTGATCATGTCCCCCTAACTCTTCTGTCTTCCAGTGAAGTGAGGTTTAATTCCCTTAGTCTCTCCTCGTAGCTCATACCTCTCAGCTCGGGTACTAGTCTGGTGGCAAACCTTTGAACCTTTTCCAGTTTAGTCTTATCCTTGACTAGATATGGACTCCATGCTGGGGCTGCATACTCCAGGATTGGCCTGACATATGTGGTATACAAAGTTCTGAATGATTCTTTACATAAGTTTCTGAATGCCGTTCGTATGTTGGCCAGCCTGGCATATGCAGCTGATGTTATCCGCTTGATATGTGCTGCAAGAGACAGGTCTGGCGTGATATCAACCCCCAAGTCTTTTTCCTTCTCTGTCTCCTGAAGAATTTCCTCTGCCAGATGATACCTTATATCTGGCCTCCTACTCCCTACACCTATCTTCATTACATTTCATTTGGTTGGGTGAAACTCTAACAATCATTTGTTCGACCATTCCTTCAGCTTGTCTAGGTCTTCTTGAAGCTTCAAACAGTCCTCTTCTGTTTTAATCCTTCTCATAATTTTAGCATCGTCCGCAAACATTGAGAGAAATGAATCGATACCCTCAGGGAGATCATTTACATATATCAGAAACAAGATAGGACCGAGTACAGAGCCCTGTGGGACTCCACTGGTGACTTCACGGCAATCGGAGGACTCACCCCTCACCGTAACTCTCTGCTTCCTATTGCTTAGATACTCCATTATCCACTGGAGCACCTTTCCAGCTACACCTGTCTGTCTCTCCAGCTTATGTACCAGCTTCTTATGCGGTACTGTGTCAAAGGCTTTCCGACAATCCAAGAAAATGCAGTCCGCCCAGCCCTCTCTTTCTTGCTTAATCTTTGTCACCTGATCGTAGAATTCTATCAAGCCTGTAAGGCAAGATTTACCCTCCCT